ACCCGGCCCCGCCCTCCCTGCCCCGACCCATGCACAGAGCCAGGCGGCGGTGGTCGGTAAGGAAGACCAGGAAGTCTTTGAAGCTTATGATCCCCTCACCTGGGGAGGGAGGGGCGGGGCTGCCGTGGGGCCTGCCTTGCACACGGTAGGGGCTTGCCGGCGCTTCTCCGTGTTGGAAACCCAGTCCTGCCTCTAGCCAAGGCAGGACTTGAGTGGGGGATCCCCGGTTTGAGTGGGGGAGAAATATCCCTTGCCCTGGGGGAGCCCAGAGTCAAGATGAGGATGCACACAGCAGTAATGTTGATAGGCCATGGGATAGGTGTGTTCATCAGGGCCGGCTTCCTGGAAGAGGGAACTTCTTTTTTATTCAGTGGGAGTCTCACTCTGGTGCCCAGGCTGGAGTGAGGTGGCACGCTCATGGCCATCACAACTTGGACCTGCTGGGTTTAGGTGATCCTTCCGCCTCACCCTTCCAAGTAGCTGGAACTACAGGTGTGTGTGCCACCATGCTCTGTAATTTAAAAAAAATTTATTGTAGAGATGAGGTCTTGCCACGTTGCCCAGGCTGGATTTGAACCCGTGGGCTTAGGCAATCCTCTTGCCTTATCCTCCCAAAGTGCTGGGATTACAGGAATGAGCCACCAGACCTGGGTGGAAGAGGAAACTTTAAAATAGGGCCAGGCCAGGAATTTTGTGGGAAGGGGAGGCTTTCTTCAGGAGAATGCCTGGAGGTGGGGAGAAAAGAGGGTACCCGCCATCCAAGTTTGCTAGCTGCAGGGCCTCACACATCTCTCGTGGACAAAAGTGGACACCCACACTGTGCAGGACAGCTTTCGTGCTGCACACGCCCACGGTGCCTGTTCGGCTGGAGCTGAACAGCTTGAAGATATCCTGGAAGGCTGAGGGAGGAAGAGGCAGACAGCAAGGTGAAACACCCACACGGAATGCTGAGAGCTGTCCGCTCCAGCTCAGGTCATTCCAAGCCCCTGGGTGTGACTATAACTTTTTTTTTTTTTGAGTTGGAGTCTCACTCTTGTTGCCCAGGCTGGAGTGCAGTGGCACACTCATGGCCACCACAACTTCGACCTGCTGGGCTCAGGCGATCCTTCTGCCTCAGCCTTCCAAGTAGCTGGAACTACAGACACATGCTACTGCACCTGGCCAGTTTTTGTGATTGTAGAGAAGAGGTCTCGCCAAGTTGTCCAGGAAGGTCTCGAATCCCCAGGCTCAGGCAATCCACTCTCCTCAGCCTCCCAAAGTGCTGGGATTACAGGCTGAGCCACTGCACCAGGTTTTTTTTTCCTTTTCTTTTTTTTTTAGAGTACGAAATATAGTTTATTTAAAAGTAAATTAGAGAGGAGATTTACCTTCCCAAGGTAGGGGAGGGGGCCAAAGTCAGGAAACATGGTGACAGCCATAGCTCAAAGAGCATTTGGTCACACCAGAGTCTAGTAAGGCATTGGCTGACTATAACTTTTTTTTTTAAGAGTTGGAACTCACTCTGTCGCCCAGGCTGGAGTGCAGTGGCATGCTCACGGCCACCGCAGCCTCGACCTACTGGGCTTAGGCGATCTTGCTGCCTCAGCTTTCCAAGTAGCTGGAACTACAGACATGCTCTACTACGTCTGATTTTTTGATTTATTGTAGAGATGTGGTCTCACCAAGTTTCCCAGGCTATTTTTGAACCCATGGACTCAGGCAATCCTCACACCTCAGCCTCCCAAAGTGCTGGTATTACAGGCTTGAGCCACCGCACCCAGCCTGTAATTTTTAATAAAATGGATGGTGTCGGCTGCTTGGTGTCTGTGCAATTCTTGTGTCCAAAACTGACATTGGTATGAAAAACACTCAAAACTCATGTCCAAGATCACACCTGGCTGTCTGGATCTGAAGGTACAGAGTTCTGGAGTCTGCTGGTGCCTGGCATGTGGCGGGTACCAAAAACTGTTGATTGATTAAGTGAATGATCCTGCTTCGAGGGGCTCCTGCCGATATCAGGGCGTGACCCTTGGGGAGCCTTGGGATAGTGGTTTCTTCTGCCGTCACCCTCAGCCCCAGACCCCAGTGGGGCAGGGGGCCAGATTTTTCCCCCTCATCCTTTCTTTATCTTTCTTTCCTCCCTCCTTCCCACCTGTTCATCCATCTATCCATCCACCTAAATAACCTTTACTCACTTATCCACCAATCCATCTCATCTTTTCCTTCCCTTCCTTCTTTACACACACATATATATGTTTCTGCCACATCTTTTTTTTTTCTTTTGAGTTGAAGTCTCACTCTGTCGCCCAGATTGGAGGGCAGTGGCACACTCATGGCCACTGCAGCCTCCACCTGCTAGGCGCAGGCTATCCTTCCAAGTAGCTGGAATCACAGGCACACGCTACCACGCCTGGCTAATTAAAAAAGAAATTATTGTAAAGACAAGGTCTTTTCAAGTTGCCCAGGCTGGTCTCGAACCTCTGGGCTCAGGCAGTCCTCTCGCCTCTGCCTCCCAAAGTGCTGGGATTACAGGCATGAGTCACTGTACCCAGCATCTCTGGTACATCTTGATCCCTAGCGTAGAAGGAAGGTTACAGGCACTGGCTTCTTGCAGGAGCCCCGACCTCAGGGTGGGCAGCCCCCCAGAATGCTCTCTTGAGCACTCCCTACTTTCCTCCCTGCTCCCAGCCTTGGGGCCCTCACTTGCCAGCTGCCATGTTGTCAGGAGCAGCAGGTTCT